ACAGTGGTGACACTTGGATTGACGCTTCCATAACTGCAAGGGCCAGGTACTTCGTTTCCATTTAAATCGAAGTTTAGAACAAGCTGGTCTGACCAACGTTAGCTCAATCCAACTCCAGCAAAAGAGAGTGCTACAGTAATTGCACACGTTACAGCCCACAGCTGCTTTAAGAGCAAATTTAGGATGGCTCCAGCCCAATCTCCCCCTGCAGTGACCTCCCTATGCAACGGGGAGGCCACATTTTCAATTTGCAGGTCTCCCGTGGGCTGGGGAATCTCATCACACCCTGTCCCACACGGCGCGAAGGGACGACAGCATTCTCGGTGCCCGGCATGGCCAGCAGCTGCTCACCTGGCGAGAGGCAATTTTCTCCATGGGGAAAAGCTGTAAATTGCATTGGAAGATTTGTAAGATTTTTTTTTTTTTTTTTTTTTTTAATTAAAGCTATCTCCTCCTCAGAGCTGCTCAGTGGAGGCAGCCACCTTGGCAAGCCCAGGCTTTGCTCAGCAGGGAAACATGGAGCCACCGCTGCCGCCCCTCCTGCTCTGATCCCGCAGCCTGAGGAAAACCCGCTGGGTTTTTATGGGGGAACCACACGTCAGAGGGGGCTCATTTCTGCTCATGGGGATGCTTCATGGTGGACAACCTCAGCTTCTGCATGAAGGGCCGCTCCAGTGGGGATGGCTGTTGTCATTCCATGGGTCACAATGTGGTCCCCCCGGCCCAGGATACCAAAGAGAGGTGTTAAGATGCCCCAGGCTGCCCTCCTGTCCTTCTCCATCAGCAGCATCCACATGAGCATGTGGGGCTCGCCCTCCACCGACCAGGACAGAGCACAGGGCAACCTGCCACCAAAGACACCTCCTCTGAGGCAGTGGCCAGCTGGCACCTGGGCCAACAACTGCACCAACAGGCACTGCCCAGCCTTTTGGTGGGGTCATCCAGGGTCTCCCAGTCCTTCACCACCTCCTACCCTTGCAGTCTTAAACACAAATGCACTCTGCCATCTAGTGATCTTGGGCAAAAAGGATTGCTCCTGGCGATAGCAGCCACTCAAGATCAGGAGAGCTGGCTTTGCACCAGGACTGGGGGGTTCCCCAGGTTTTATTCCCTGCTGGTACAACGGGGATGGTGTCTGCTGGCACAGAGAGCACCCTGCTTGCCAGGGCTGCCAGCAGAAGGGAAGGACCACCCTTCGGTGTTTGGTAGGTCCATGACACAGTCAGGGCTCGGTATCCTGGCTGCTGATGAGCACAGGGCACAGTCCCATTGGGAGCAGCCTGGCCCCAACGTTTCTGCTGGGAGACAGGGGCTTCCCAAAGCACCAAAAGCAGTCACAGCACCTTCTGCTGGGGGGCTGAAGCGAGCAATGTCCAGAATCAAGACTGGGATCAACCTGACCAATGGATCCAGCACAACCAGGGATTGAGAAGAAACCTTCCATGAAAATTCAGGACAAAATCTGTGGGCAGCTGGCCCCCTCAGGAGTCCTCACCAGATTACTAGCCCACCACTGCTTTGTGCCATACCCTCAATGTCCTGGAAAGGCAGCAAGATGACATGGATGCAATGGAGAGCAGAGCTGGATCCACCACTTCCCTGGAAGCAAAAAGCCAGCCCTGAGACCCTGCATTTCAGTCCCCAAGGTGAGGGACAAACACACTTAGGGATTAGTCCTGTCCTCACCAAGCCATGGGGTGAAGCTTTGACCCTGATTTTGAAGGGGGGAGGCATTTGTAACACTTGGACTCCTACAGAGAGTGCCCAAGACAGATTGCAATCGCAATCCAGTAAACATTAAATCTCTTCACACCATTTCTTATGACAGATGATACCAATCTCCTGGCCATAGCTCTGAAAAAAGGGACATTCCTCATAAGCAATGCCAAAGTGAGGAAAGAACAGCTTTTTTTCTCTTTTACTCCCTTCTAAGCAAAGGGACATGTGGAATTTGGTGAAACATCACCACTCCCTCTTTCTTCCTTCACAGTTTGGAGGCTTCTTTGAACAACCACACTCTAATCCTGTCTCTGTAGTTTTGACTGGACTGCACTTTGGACTTTTCACAAGGAGGAACCATAAAGGAAGATCTGCTCAGTGCACAGCACATCTGGCAGAGGATCTGTAACTATCACCCATCTCCAAATGCTTGCCTGAGGATGTGATACTTCTTCCCACTGGGATTCAAGACACTCATCTGAGGCCTTTCAAAAAAGCCAGAGGGATGGGGCTGGGGGGCCGCTAGTGATACCAACCACTCTCCTGGGGTCCCCAGCTGCCACAGAGAGGCTCACCTGTCTCTGAGGAGATGTTCACCTCCACACTGAGGTCAGGAATGGGTGCTCCCTGGAAGGTGGCCACACACAGGTAGGTACCATAGTCGCTGAACCTCAAGTCAATAATCTCCAAGCTGCAGGTTACAGGTGGGAGCTCAGGGTCATTCCTGGTGATGAGCAATCGGTCTGAGAACCTGGCTGGTTTCCCATTCTTGTACCAGGAATAAACAACCTTCTCCTGAGGGACAGCATCCACGTGGCACGAGAGCTTCAAGTCCTGGCCTAACTGGATGGTCTCGCTCTCTTTGATCACATCAGGGGTTATCTGGAAGGTGGCATTCTTCATGGCTGGGGTGAACACAAGCGAGAAACTGGTTAGGGACAGCAGTGTCTTGTATGGGACAGGACAACAGCTCTTTGCTCCTCAGGAAGGCAACATCTCCATGCAAAACCTGCCTTAAGGCTAAGCGCCGGCTACATTCCTACAATAGATCCCTAGGGCCTCACATCTGGCAGTCTGGGATCATTCCCTAGCCCAGGACAGTGCTACAGCCCAGGACAAGGCTGCATGCAGTGCTAGCACAGCTGCTGGTCTGGGAGCAAAGAAGCTTCCACAGAGGCTTCTCCAGAATACTGATCTCTGCTAAGTATCACGGTCACCCACAGCTGTACAAGAACAGCCAGGAAAAATGCAAATCTAGCCCCTCCACCCTGAAAACCCATGCTCTGAGAAAAAGAGCGACTTACACCGCACCAGCAGGTTCACTGTCTTCTTTGCTGGGTTCCCCACGTTGTTGATGGCCGTGCAATTGTAGTAGCCCGAGTCCTCCACGCGGATCCTCCAGATAGTGAGGTTGCCTCCTTGCACAAGGCTGTTAGGAGGCATTGGGCCAGGAGAGTGAGACCAAACCACCTCTGGCTGTGGGTCACCGCCCGTCAGAGAGCACTGCATAGTGATGTTGTCACCAGGGTTGACCACCAGTGTCTCATTGACAGACAGTTTCAGAGCAGGTGGGGCTGGAAGAGTACAAAGAGGGACACTTTGGAGCTTGAAAAAGACCCACCTACTTGTTTGTGCACAGCTCCATACTTTCTAGGATTTGTTCTTGAAGATGGCTGGATTGAGTAGGGAGAGCTGGAGGGATCCATGAATTCATTACAAATTCAGTGTGTTTGTGAACCTAAAGCATTATCATTACCGTGTCCTTCAGTTAGAGCACCCTCCTCTGTTATGGTCAGGGAAGACTGCAGGCAGGACCTCACGCCACCCCAGAACAGAGGCCATACCTAAACCACGCCACCGCTAGGGCTTAGGATTGGGGCATAAGCTAGGTATGATATTTCAGCAGCGTTTAGTGCAGGTTCTCTAGGCTTAGGGCTCAGGTCAGCAGAAAAGCCTGATGAACAGGTAGGAGTGGCAAGCAGACAAAATTTGGCAGTGGAGAACCCAGAGGCTTCTTGACTCCTGATGCAGCCAACTGCAGCAAGGCAGAAGGGTGCTGGAAAGATGCTGTGACTCTGCATCACCACAGTGCCCCCCGTCCTCCCTGTCTGTGACTCCCCTGACTCTAGACAAGCCCTGCAGAAGCATCACCGGAGAAAAGGCTCAATGGGTAGCTCCTATTAGAGCATCCGTATCTCCTTTGCTGCAACACAACAGTATGAATCAGAGTCTGCTCACGCCTTGGACAGAAACAGCATGCTGGGCTGAGCCCTGGGAAGAAAAAGGCAGGAGAACAAGAGATGCATTGTCATAAGGCATGGGTAGCTGCAACCATGGATTGAGCTTAGCATCTCAGGACCCGATCCAAAGTGTGCTGGGAAGCTCACTCGGACATCAGGGGTTGCTGGACGGTTCTCACAATCCCAAGGGAAGGTCAGGCAGAGCACCAGGTGCATGCCCAAGTCACAGCCTGCTCCTTCTGCCTGATCACCAGAGCTCCACCCTGATGGAGAGGGGGAGGAGAAAGGACAGGCTCAGAGGAGCCTGCTTGAACCCAACAGCTGTTTGTGTTCTAGGACAGTTGGGATTAAACCAGTCCTCCCATACAGAGCTGCCATCCCAAGACGATTTGGGGAAGGTCTACCATTAAAAAAGGACCTCAGCTATCCTGTGATATGCCCCTCCATCTCTCACACCCAACTAGGTGTCTTTGAGAGGCAAAGCCTTTGCCAGGCAGCTGGTCCTTGCAGCCCAGAGCCTGACACAGAGGACCAGGGCCTGTCAGCACCATAACAGACCATGAACAGCTTTGCACCCACTCTTGACCTCCTTCACCTCCACAGGTGTCAAATACATTCCTCTACGGACCTCGGGGCTGTAGACCAGGTCACAGGGATTGTCTTTCATGTACAACTGAACGACTGGGACTGATTCAAAATGTCTAGACAACCTCTCCTTTGAATACCCTAGTACCTGTTTTGGTTTATTTTATTTCTGCACCCTTCTCACTACATCCCCCAACAGGAACCGATCCAAAAAACTTCCCTTTGTATTCTCTATTTCATCCCATGAAAAGCCTTTTAAAAGCCCTTGTCAGCACCATCACTGGCTCCATCCAGACGAAGCTGAGAAAGTAGCAGTCCCCAGCACAAAGGCGGGGAGTATGTTTTAAGTAACAGCCATAATAATGCAAAATAAGACATTGTTCCATATTCATGAAGCCTGATTTAACAGCATCATTATTTCTGCCTCTTCTCTCCCTGGACCCTGCACTAATGAGCTGTGCTGGATTTGTGTTGGATCTCTGAATTACAGCCCGTACAAACAAGGCGAGGAGGACTGCCCTCCCCTCAGCACCGGAGCCATAATTTAGCAGGGCAACTACTGCCATGCTGGGATATTGCTTTGGGGCACTGAGTCAAGTGTCCTCTCCCTGGCCATGGCATGGTTTGTGCCAGAGGTGGCCAGCTCTGCCTAAGGAAGAAGGTTCCTTGCCTAGGAATCTCTACCCATCCCCATCAGAGCTGGAGAAAGGCTGAGACCAGCCTGTGTCTGGAGAGAAGATGTCAGAGCTGGGGAGCACAAACCAGAGGTCCTGCATTGCTCTGGTTAAGAGTTCGGGATCTTGCGGCGTTTCATGTGCACGTATCTGAACAACGCTCATCTTGCCCAGCAGGGACATGTCCTGGGCAAGGCAACACGACAAAAACCAGTGATGTGCTGGTGCAAGCTCTGCCTCGGGGTCGGTTGTGTGGGCATGCAGGAGGGAGGCAGGGAAACTGCAAAGCTGCCACCAAGCACAGCTCCAAGGCAGCAAGCTCCCACGATGGGCCCCAAACCAGCACCCTGGCAGGGGCAGCCTGCGCGGGCTCCCACTCCCACTCCCGTCAGCAGGCAGAGGTTAACAGTCTGCAGACATTGTTATGCAGGAGATGAATCTCATTTATTTGTAACCTGTGGCAATTCCTTTTGTTCTTGGCTCAGAAAACCTGCTGGCGGAGTCTGCCGAGCAGCAAGGGGACCATTAAAAACAAAGAGTCGCTTTCAATTCCCTTTGAAGTCCAATTTGCTGCAGTAAAACTGCAGGAGAATTAACCAGCCGGGCTGCTTAATTTTGCAGAAATCAAGGAAGGGGAAAACATCAGCCTTGACCCTGCTGGAGCAGGTGACAGCAGCCCAGTGCTGAGCTGGTCCCGTGGCTCTGCGGACCCAACCTGCTGCTCTAGAGCCACACGACAGCCGCAGGACAGAGGAGGAGCGGGGAAAACTCCTTCCCATTAAGGTTGCAGACCAAGAACCCGTCCCCTGCTGCAAGGGCCAAGCTGCTGACACGGAGATCGGGAGAAGCACATCTCCTTGCCGGAGACTACGCTCTGCCCAAAGGTCGCTGCCAGAGGAGCCAAAGTGAACCAGCTGAGGAACGGCAAACGAACTGGGAAGAGAAGACTCCCTTGGCCCGACATGACCTGACCCACCAATTCCCCTCCAGGTCCGTACTACTTGGGTCTATAAATATTTAAGAGAACGATTTCCATGCACCTCTGCGCCCTTTGGGCCCTCCTCAGTTGCAAAGGCAAAGGCAACCTGAGCAAAGCTGCTCAGGATTCTGGGCACAGCCAAGGCTACGGAGGCTGCTGAAAGCACAAGCGCAAGAGGGAAAGAAGAGACCTATGCAAAAAATGAGAGAATTAAAGATTTTTCTTTAAATATTTTCTCATCTATGCACAGTACTACCTACAGGGCAAGTAAGCCCTGGATATTCATGTTAAATATACTTGTGCTATTTAACACGAACCCTGCTCACACTGCAATGCCAGCTTCATTTTCACCGCCGGCTTTTAATACAATTTGCTAGGAACACATTTTCCATGGCCCCTTTGAGCTGGTAGTGTCAGGCTCTGCCGTAACTACGTATAAATACACATCTATCACCAAACAACAGGAAAAAAGAACCAGCTGTGTGTGCTACGTGGTCCAAGTTCCGAGCTTAGGTAAGTACCTAGGAAGTTGGTGTAAATTCAGCCAAATCACCGGCTTCTGATCTGGCCACAACCTGAAAATACATTTTCCCCATTCACTCAGTAAAGGGGCTGGCCTGAAATGAAGGGTAGGCTCCCTGCGCTTGGGCTGGCAGCGGGGAGTGGACATGAAGAGAAATTTGATTTTCCAACTCTTCAAAGGTAAAGACACAACAGGGAAGAAGAACTGTATGAGATCCCCTTCTTCATCAGCAGCACAAGATAAGTTTTTAAAGGGAATATTCCAGCATTTGCTACGGTCTCATCCTGAGAGAAATTCAGGCAGTGGTGTGAGTTGCTCGAGACATGTTCTCACTACATCGAGAATATTTTTTTCCTGACATTAGCTATAGTTCACTTTCTTAAGCTCATTATTTTTCTTCTTCCCACCTAAAATGATGCAACTATTGTTCAGCACCTTGGGCTCAAGTCAGATCAATAAACATAATTTATGCAGTATCAACAAAATCCCATCAACAGTTGGCAACATCAAAAGAGTTCTGTTTCCACCGCGCAAAGATGACACAAGGGATGCAAACCGCTTTGTGTTACATTAGAGAGGTGAATAATTCAAACAACTACAATGCCTTTCTTTCTGATCATGGAATACCCCAGGGCTGGAAGCAATTTCCTGACATTTACTTATTATTTGAAACTATTCAACACATGCAGGGCCTTTGTGGGTGGGGTTTTTTGGCGGGTGTGGGTTTGGGTTTGGGTTTTTTTTTAATGAACGGGTTGCAATCAGATTCTTGCAAGTATTTGGTACGTGATACTCAGTCACCGGTCGGTTATTGCAGGTCAAGCAAGAGGCACCAAACTGATTCTGTTCGCAGCTGCAGGCACACTCAAGCACTGCCAGTATGAATATCAGTGTAAAATTTATTTATTGGGAAGGCACCGGAGATATTTGCTTTCCACAAACATCGGCACCAGCGGAGCCCGTTAGCTGGGAGGTGCTGAGAGCGCAGCTTGGCAAACCAGGCCAGAGTCACACACGAATGAATTATTTGCAAGAACTCCTGCAGCATCTGCCCCACTCTAGACGGCGTGGAATCTATTTTTAAAGTCACTTAGAATTATAAATAAATAAACCAGTGTCTGGATTAAAAACTCCATAGTGTCCCAACACCTACACGTAGTCTGTTTTAATGATCTCACAGCAGGGCTGGCCAAGGCACCGCCTATACGCAGAGCTACAAAAAATCAGAGCATCCCTGGCCACAAAACTTCTGTGCGAAGGATTTGGAATCCTAGCAGCCCTGTACCTGAACGTGAGGTGCTGCAAGCCCTTGGCAGGGTGCCGTTACCCTCCTGGAGGGGTAATGGCTGTTGAGCAGGTGAGGGATCGGAGGGCTGCGGGGACCCTCGGTGTCCCCTCTTACCTGTGGTGTTGGTGAGCTGGAAGGTGATGGATTTGTCAGGGATGCTGCAGACATTGCGGACGGACACCTGGCACGTGTAGCTGGCGTAATCCTGGGGCCGCAGGTTCTTCCACAGCTCATCATTGCAAGCCCATAACCTGTCTCAATGTTTACAGATTACCAGCAGCTCCCATCGAAACCTCAGGGAACTGTGCAGACTCCAAACCCCCCTAGCTATATAAAACGGAGGCACAAAATGTTTGCAGTGGTGAACTCCACCTCCAGGATTTCTCAGAACACCCAGCAACCAACCGCATTTAACCTGAAAGCATCGCTGAACAGCTCTAGGCACAACTCCTCATCAACTGCCGTCAGAATCATCTTGCGGAACTTGAAAAACCTTAAACGTCCCAGAACAGACCCTGAGATCTCACACCGAGATGTCGATAGGAACCCAAGGGATGTCATTGGGGTCTCCACATTGCAAACCCAAAGCACGCCAGAGCAGATTCAGGCATTAACGCTGGCCTCAATATGACAAGTTCAACAGTTACGCCGTAAAACTTTGCAGTACAGGGGAAAAAAAGATTATTCACTGAAATACTCAAAGAACCCCCTGAAACTTTCTGATTGCCCTTCTCCAGATTCTAATCTCATTTATGCTGGCGTAAATCCAGCGTGACTGCACAGACTTTGACAGCATCTTCTCATACTACGGTAACAAACAAGCAAAACAAAATCACTCCCTGGCACTCCATTAGTTACTGGCTTGTTATAGAAATAGAAACAAGTTGTTAAATTAACAATAGATGCATTCTGTAGAATTTTATTTATGGAATGTGGAAAGCTCTGAGATGCATCCTGTGGTTTGTGCGCCCTGCAACTCATACGTCTTCCCCCGACAGCTTGTCGCTGCTGTTCTCCTTGCGTTTGTCTAAATCTCTTTTGGAGAAACCATTCTATAATTGCCTGCAAACGTGAGAAGGTGTCAGCACGACAAATCCTCTTGAGGACAACCTCAAGGGACTGGACGATGAGCTCAGGCATGCTAATATGCGGAGAAAGAGGATCTGAACTGAGTAAATTAGAAAGATAAATACCTAGGAGACCAATAACCCTATGAAAGTCCCGTCCCCTGAGATTTGTTGCTATGCCACACAAATGATGGCATTTACAATGTGCATGTCAACTACTTACTTACAGTATCATCTGTATCCTGCTTATTGATTAGTAAATGCTGGGTAAATGTATATAAACCTTCAGCGTAAGTAAGTTTTAAAAAGCTTAAACAGTAAAGTCTTCACCTCCTTTTTGATGGAAAAGCCTACCCAAACCTGACACCGATACCAGTTCGTCTCTAAGACAACATTACAACCCCCTGCGAAGGATGCTGTGTTAAGTGTAGCGCCTTTGAGCTCCAGCAAGATTTTCCCCTCCCAGTGGCGTTGCAGAGGTGTGGCTTGGTTAACTTCAACTCTTGCCAACCCAAACTCCCAGGGTTATGCTGGTTCTAAGCAGAGGACTGTCAGGGCATGTCTGTAGGAGCGCAGCAGTCCTAACACCCTCTCTCTGAGCTGGGAACGACCCGTCCCATCGTAGTGGGGACATTGCCCGAGAGGAGCCGCAGGATGCTGGGTCGTTTGCACATCAATGCTGCGTGCAACACGGTAAAATTCTGTCAGATGCCTGCCTTAGCCAAAGAAAATATCTCAAGTCCTAAGACATCCCCTCATTAAGCAATGTCTCCTGGTAATTACACCGAGCTTAGTGAAGGCTGGAAGAGCTTCCTCTAAGGCCAGGGATGTCCTGGTTGGATGCCACATAGCGCGGAACCAGGCAAACCTCTCTTCAGGACCCAGCAGCAGCGCTGACCGACAGCGTTTCTGCAAATCTGCCACTAACCTGCAGCTCTCTCCTCTCTCCTCATCCCCCTGAATGTTTCCATTTGGCTGCCCATTTCCATGACCTACGGAGATGGCGTGTTTCAATAAAATATGAACACGACTACATTAACTGAAAGGTTGCCTGGAGCATCGCTCATAAATCAAACTCATCCAGAATGCGCTCAGGACCCGGCTTTGGGAGCGCGAGGAGGTGCGTGGGATGAAATGGGTGCCCTGGGGAGCGGCCCTTTCAGCCCTCCCTTCCCACCCATCATCACCTCGTGCTGCCGAACGGCCTGGCTGGAAGCGTTGAGGCTGGTTAGCATCTGAAGGACATTCAGAGCCAGAGCTTAGCTTAGGAAAACATGCCCCGAGTGCCTTGGCAAAAGAAAAATTCTCCTCTGTCTCCCACCGGGCTAATTACTGTGAAGAAAGAGGGGCAAGTCCAGCATAGGCAAGCAGGAGAAGCAGGAAGGATGTGGTTACCCTGCCACAGGCCAACAGAAAGTGCCCAGGCAGTTGGGCTGCCTCTGTTCCTTATGGCCATTAGGAAAATCTCTTCATCATTTGCCTCATGGATCCCACAGCAATTCCTGCCATTCACTCACACTGCTGAACAGGAAGCAATTCCCCTGATTTATGGAGCTTAGGCACTCAATTAAGAAAAAAAAAAAAAAAAAAAAAAGAGTGATGGGAAGTAGAGGAGACCCAATCTTGGGATTGTTTGCTTGGATTTTAGTCTCGGCCATCCAACAGCCAAGGAGCCTCATTAGGGGAGCTGTGACCTGCTCTCAGGGACGATGCCAAAAAGGGGAAGGGAATTCTAGGCTGTCCTGCTCCCTCCTGCTGCTCTGCTCCTCTTGTTCCCTGGGAACCCACATACAGAAGTAGGCTCTACCAGCTCTTTTGGAGACATTGCTCCCTGCAGGGGCCACCACCCTCTCCCCAGCATCGCAGTCCACACAGGGTAAGAAAAGTCATCTACTACCGAGCGCCCTGCATTGGCAAGATGCTCAACACAAGCTGCGGAGGTTGCAGTCTTCTCACCTGTGTGTAGAGGGGTTCATAGATGTCCACACCATTGTCCTGACTGTGGGAAAGCGTCTCAGCTCCCCGTTTCCAGATGAAGCGAGCTGGTGGGTTGGAGTTGACAGTGCAGCGGAGGAAGACAGTCTTCTCCTGGTAGAAGCTGCCACGTACGTCGCTGATGGTCTGGTGAACGGTGAGAACAGGTTCATCTAGATCTGGAAGGAAGGTAAGGAGGGCCGCAGCAGTTGTTAGTGAAGCTTGGTCTGCACGTATAGCCTGCGGAGCAGATGATGCTCCAGGCGCCACAGAGGAGAGGGGAAGCTCCCACACATTTGGCTGATGACAGCTGCTGAATTAAGAGCTGATCTGAGGGCAAGTAACACAAACAATATCTAAAGGGAACAGACAGGAGAAGCCAAAATTCTCCCGCTCACCACACAACCTTCAGAGAATAGAAAGCACCCTCTGGTTTGCAGATCCCATGTGGTCCTTGAGCAAACTGACTGCCACATGCCTCTCAGACCAGTGGGCTGCTTCACCTTCCACAATGACACCCCACACCCCAAGTCACTGCTCTCTACTTCAGTGAGGGGTCAGAAGGATCCCAGGAAACTCTGCTCCATCATAATTTCTTCTACTCCCACTTTCCACTTCCCAAATCCCTCCTGAAATGATGGGGCTAAGCACACCCCACGGCTGTGAGATGCCCACACAAAGGACACGACAAACCTTCAAGTCAAGGGGTGAGAGCAGAAGTCAGGGCAAGACCAAGGAGCTGAGATGGAGAGTCATCTCCTAGACAGGAGAGAGTCTCGTGGGGTGCCGTGGGAACATGAGATGGAAAACACTGTGAAAGGTATGCACAATTTCTCTCTCTTCCTATTAAATTATCCTCTGTGCGTTTTCTCTCCCTCTTCAGCAACTTCTGCTCATTGCACCGCTATCACCCACTCCTAAACTGATCTATCCTTTTCTGGTTTCTCCCTTTACAGAAAATGCTCTTTCCAATGCCCTTGCCATACCTGCACCAGACACGCAGCCATCACGACTGGATCCGTGGTTATCAGTCACTCCACTTGCAAGGACACAAGCAACAGCCCTGCAGCAGGAAGCATATTTTCTCCATCCACCCAGGGCACACTGCTCCCTAAGGGCTGCCCGAAAAAGGAATTATTTTCTTGGGCTTTTGCACCAGACACCAATGTCTGAAGATGAAGGAAGCATGGGGAAAACCTCAGAGGGGTTCTTCTCCCAGAACCACGTTGGGACTGATTGAGATGAAATGTAAAGATACCATTTGACAAAATGGGACCAACTGACCCTCTAAAATGGAAATCCGTCCCCATGCCCTGAAGCATGTTTTATAAGGCATCTGTTGAGTTCAGCTGAAGTAATTCTACGTTTTCAGCAGCCTTATGATCCCGCCTTCAGCTGTGTCTCCACTGGGGCACACGTACCCAGTATCCCCTTGTGCTGCCAGCACTGTCTTCTGCATGTTAGCAGAGAGGAAGGGGACACGTGCTCATCACCTCCTGCTCTCCTATGCCACCTAATTTTCACAGTATTTTATTTGAGAGATCTGTACGTTTGGAAATCTGACTCCCAGAAAGGAAGGGGGAAGCAGGGATGAGTTTCTGCTAACGTGTCATCCAAATAACGCATGTTCGCCGCTGAATCACAAGCGTCAACTTGTGGATTTGCATTTTTTAATGAGCTGTGTGCTTGGTAGACAGCAGTTGTAATGGGACCTGAGATCTGTCGGCTTGACCACACTATAGCTCAGATAGGAGTACAGCCATTAGCAGAACAATGACAAGGAAAACAAAACAAAAAAAACCACTCAGCACCCAAAATCCCAAAACCCAAGGCTGAAGAAAAACATACACAGGTGGAGACAAAAAGGCTTCTCTCCATACAGTGCTGTCTCCATGTAGCCATAGGGTGACTGAATTTTATACCAAATTCTCTTGGACCAGGACCTTGGGCACAGCCTCCCCTCTTTCCCTCTTCTTTGTCCTTAACCCTCCTTTATTTATTTACACTTTACATCGGTAACTCTAGCTACCATCCTTCTGACGCTCCATTTCTCAGCAGGATGCATGGCAAAACACTTCCCTTACTTGACCAAATAAGATTTTCCACCATTCAGGTCTGCTGGCTCCCAGCCACTCCCCACACAGAAAACATCATCTTCCTTTCAGTTGCTAAACCTTTCCTCCCTTGAATCTTTCAGCCTTCCTTCGTAGCAGTCAGCTCTAAGTCTAGCCCTCCTGAGAAAAGCTAAAATAAGACCTACGATTATCTGTATGTATGTCCCTGACGTACAAGTAACGCCACTGATGTCAGTGAGTGCCACAATTTGATAAATTTGGCCCAAGGCTGCTCATGGAGATGATCGTATGGGACGTTTCATGCGCAAAATAAGCTTGCAAACATCCATTCCTTCTTTTTATTTACTTTCCCTCTCTCCCACATGGAAATACTCCAAACAGCAGCTGCCTCTCTCCCAGTACCTGACCAAGACTTTAAAGCCTCACTTGATGCCCACTTGGGGCAAAGGTATAACTTCCCACACAGGTTAGTGTTTCCAGTTTAATATCATCTTGGCACCAGTGGTGCTCTCCACACAACCTTGCTGTCTAATACTAAAAGTTCGGACACGGTTTGGTAGGCATGGTGGTGTTGGGTTGACGGCTGGACTTGATGACCTCGCCGGTCTTTTCCAACCTTAATGATGCTACAATTCTATGATTCTATGAAGTATGAGTGAGGACTAGCGCTACCTGTCAAGGACACCAAGATTCACATAGGGTGATTACTTACCTCCAACTACAAATTGGGCTGTGGGGAAAGAAGGGGTTTGTTTTCAAATTCTGGTTCATTCAGCTGAAGGTTGCCTGCGTGAGCGTTCAACAAAAACTGTGGCTTTTCCTATGTGTTCCCTTGTACCTAACTGCAAACGCTAGCAGAAAATAGTCTCTCCTCCCCAAAAACCAAGTGAGCAGAACAGAGGTGCATTACCAAGTCCATCTGCAGAGTAGATGTTAGTATGAGAAAGCCCTTGGCCACCCCATTAGCCCCACAGTTCTACAGGTCAGAGCTGCACGAGGGACCATGGAACACTACATCACTCTAGCTCCAGCCTGCACCCCAGAAGTAAAGGGAGCGCCCTCAGGGCATAAAGAGATTCATGCCACAGTCCTGTTCTTAGAGACACAGGCCCTGGCAAGTCTCATACTGAGGCCTGAGGAAAGCAAGTCCCCTTTGCAATGGAGAGTTATCATATGCCTCCACCACATGTAGGAGAAGAAATGGGCAGAGAAGCCACGCAGGTCTACGGGGGTGACAGGACTCCTCCAAACAAAGCTATGCAATGCCCATGAAGAAATGCTCATCCTATCCACAGCAGCTGCTGCTGAAGCAATCTATTTTCCCAGCCTGTAGGACGGTGCCCACACTAAACTACTCCAATACAGGGTAGGGCAAGGAAGGAACAGAGATGGGAGCTGCTCCAAGCCATGTAATACAACTGCAGATCACAAACCTCCAAAAGCCTAAGGATGTTCAAGTCTATGGCATACTTTGTGAGGGTCGTATCATTGTAGGGCTTGACAGTGGGACTAAGAGGAAGCAGTCAGGCAGCAGTTGCTGTCAGCAAAGCTCTGCCCAGACTCCAGGCAGGTACTGGGGCTTTGAAGCCTGGAGGTTGTTCCACTGACAGACAACCACAGTGCACCTCAGCACAGAAGACTGTCCTGCTAGCATTGCAGGGAGAGTTCCAGATGCTTTATCACACTTTACATCTTTTTAGCATCAGCCTCTTGCTGGCTAGGCCTTCTCAGAAGATCTGAGTGAGGAGAGGCACTTGGTGTTACTCGGGCTGGAGAAAAATGGAACAGTGGATAGCCGAGAACAATGAGCAGAATGGTAATCTTCCCCAAGAGAGCAAATCTCTTCAAAAGTTACCTAGACCTTAAATCTTGGATTCATCCCTTATGGGATAAGTTTAATTTTCCTCCCTTCTGGCCACAGCAGCCCAAGAATAGACAATATTAAGCCAGCACAAGAAACCTTCAAAACTTGGGGCCCAAGGTGGAGAACCACTGACAGCATCTCCAGAACACAAGAAGGATGGACACTGCAACCAGCCAGAGAAACACTGAGTCACTGAAACCAAGGGGTCCTCACAGATTCCTTCATGTTCACCCCTTCACAGCTCAGCCTCCTCAGGTGCATCTCGGAGTCTTTTGCTCCGTTTCCACCATGCTGCAGAGGTAGGAATGCTGGGAGCAGGGCACTGGTGTCAGGAACGCCCCAAGCATCCGAGACACCATCCATTTCAAGAAGCATTGGTTTGCTTCAACCATTGCCAGCTTCAAAATGAATAGAAAGAAAGCAGGAGCCACCTACGATGCTACATCCCAGACAAGTGCTAGGGACCTCTGGAAGCGACAGACATCACGGCACCTAGATAAGAATGACTCACATGGACAGGCAGAGCCATCTTTTTTGTTGCTGAATCTAATCTCCTAGGGGAAAGGGACCCTGGGGCCACCACACCAGTCCCTTTGCTCCTGAATCAGGTGCGCATGGTCCTAGGGCAATGCAGCTCCCTGCCGGCCCCGCAGCGAGGCAGAGACATGCAGTAGAACTGTGGGAAGGTCTGGGTTGCCGCTAAACGACTTACACTGCACATCTACTCGGATGGACTTGATGGCAGGGACCCCAACCCCATTTTCTGCTTTACAGTAATAGCGGCCCCCCTGCAGCCTTTGGATCTTCTCAATCCGAAGGGTCTCGTTAAGCACTGACGTCTCTTGGAATTTGTCCGATGCGCTGCCAGCGGTTTTGGTCCATCTCACCTGCATGAGAAGAATGAGAGAAATGCAAGCAATCAGTGACATAAAGTAGAAATCCCAGGGGACGGCAGCTCTCCCTTTGCTCCTCTTCCCCCTCCTCCCTAGCCATTCTCAAAAAACGGGCCCTACAGCACCACCAGACCTTACCAAAGCTCAACTGCTGATCTCAGTACGTCTCAGTAGACCAGCTGCTGATTCTCACCCATCACCAATCTCCACGTCCAAGTGTCCAGGATAACCCCTCAGTGCACCCAGACACACACTGCATATTTACCACTCCTGTAAATTTACCTGGTCCTGCAAATCCAGGAACTTGGTTAGTTTTATACCATTATCTGCACAGCACAGGGCTTTCGGCATTAAGCCTTGGGACCCCATGTGGCTGGTAGGCCACAAAGCTACAGCAGACGTCAGCTCACAGCTACAGAGCTTTTATTGCAGTCAACAC